AGTACGTGATCTGAAGCGGTATTCAGTGATTACAAACCTGTCTACATATGTGTGAAGACTGCTCTAGCTTCAGCGAATGATGATGAGACCTCCAGGTCATCCCAGCATTCAGCGATCAAAAGAAGCTTGCTTAGCACGATTGTTGTTGTCTTGCCCTTTTGCACACAAAGGACAAACCCATACCTTTGCAGAAGTTAGTACGGTACGGAGCCGATTAGTCGACTCTTTGTCCACCAAATTTAGGCAATGATGTCTGCTCAATAATAGTGCTTTTGTACTATTCACTGTAGCAAAGAACAATCCTTCCTCTTAAGGCTTGCCACGCACTCTAAACCTACCATATTGCATTAAATGTTCATTTAATGCACTGGGTATAAATAGAAGTGTTCCTTCTCTTTGTAGAGTGCGCGCATCTCTCTGCAATCCTCTTCTTACTTCAAGCATCTTTTAGCTTAAGTAAAAGATCTTCTTTTTAACAATCTCTTTTCTTGTAATTGTTAAAGATCTGTGTGTAACCAAAGATTGTTTAGATATGTTTTCTTTACCTTATCTTTCCGCAAACAGTCTTGTAAAATCTGTATTGATCTTCTCTATCAATATATATTTTAAATTTGAAAATATTGTGTTTGTATTCATCCCCCCCTTCTACAAACTGTTTCTATTCTTGTAGACCCTTACGGGACCAACATATATATATATATATATATATATATATATATATATATATATGGTGGGTTATTATACAACCTCTTACATTTGTACAACCAATACAACTCAATCTCAACCGTCCATTTAATTTGATAAATATGTAATTTATAGAAGTTTTGATTATTTCCTAATATAAAGCATTAATCATAATTAATGAACCATATTCATATTCCATAAATATTTAAATCATAATAAATGAACTCTCATCATTTCCATAAATATTTTAATTTATTGGGTTGCATTGGTTGTATAAATACGATATGTTGTATTTGACACAAACTCTATATATATATGTGTGTGTGTGTGTGTTTATATGGTTCTTACCTTATCAAAAATCATGAGATTTTTTGATTTTGTAACTCTTAATTAATGATATGATAGTTACATAAAAAAATTACATAAATACTCTTTTCCACTTAGTTCACACATGTTTGTGAAATTGTAAATTTAAAAAATTAAATTTTTAATATGATAAATCACAACCGTTTATTGTAAGAATTAATGGCCAAGATTGGTTAACAAAGTTAATACAATAAACTTGGTTAACATTTGAACCAGCCCATATGATAAATCATGGATTTTCTGACGGATTACCGACGAATTCAATTAAAAAAAATTATTTGTCGGTAACAACCGATGGATTTAAAATCCGGTAATTACCAACGGATTAATTAATTAAAAAATAATAATCTATCGATAATTTTTTTTTCTAAAAAATTAAAAAATATAAAATTTAAATTAAACAATTCCTATTTTATAACCATGTCATGCTCTCTTTTGTTTCGTGATTCACAATCAAAAATCGGTTTTTATTTAAACCCACTTATATATATATATATATATATAATATTGATATGAAAAATTCAAATATGAAAAATGAAAGTCTAATTTATTTATAGCATATTTTGAAGGTAAAAAATATGAAGTTAGGCACAAGAGTGATGGTCTTAGAAACAAAAGGTGTGGAAAGTCAATTGATGCAGAGCCAGAGCACAGGGAAACCCCCTACCCCTACCCCTTCTTAAATGAGGACCCCACCCACTCTTCCACTTCTCATTTCCATTTCTGAACCAACAACTCTTCTGCATCTCATTTTTAACTCATCCTTTTTACTTTGCTAAATAATATAATTAGTATTAAAAAAATTAAACACAAAACTAAACTGAACCAAAATTTCTTTTTTGTGATTCCCTTTTCCCTACGCTAGAATCCCAGTCACCAATGTACAACTTCAAATGCACCACGTACAACCTCATAAATTATATTTTCAGGTAGGGGCGCCCGTGGTGCGGTTTAAGGTCAAAGCGCAAACCACGCCGCATATGCACTTTGAAGATTTTTCTAAACCGCATCGCATATGCCTCAGACGGCCAAATAACCGCATTGTGAAATGTGGTACGGTTTTTGTGGTTTGGGTTTAACGGATTTTAGTCTTTTAATTATACAATCACAACTTCATAATAAACTCGACGATGATGCTTCTATATACCATAAAATTAAGACTTTCGATACTTATTAAACGTGTAATTCAAAAAGGTGTAATGCAAATGAAATAATTCGTAATTAATTCAAATATATCTTATAAGAATTAACTTATAAATAATTTCGACCACAATTTTTGACAAAAGACAAATGAAAATAACTCAAACAAAGAATTTGTAACGTAAAAACTTAAAAAGAAAACTCAAAAATGAATAAATAATCAATAATGTGTTAATTATTTTCATTTGATAAATTATTATATATATATATGTTTAAAAAATATGAAAAAAATATGCAGTACAGTGTGGTTTGACCCACGGTCAATGACCCAAAATTGCAAACCGCACTGCAAAATACGGTTTAACAAAAATGCGAACTGCACCGCGAATATTCTAAACCACGTTTTGTGATGCGGTTTGGTACAGATGTGTGCGGTGTAGATGAACACCCTTATTTTCAAGAGTAGATTATGTTTTAATCCCTATGGTTTGTTAAAAAAAAAATTATTCTCGTCCCTGTGAGTTTAAAATTGCAATTTTTGTCCCCACGATTCATAATTCTTTACTGTTTTCGTCCATTTGATTTGAACATTATTATTTTTAATCACTATGGTTTACAATTCATTTCTATTTTGCTCCCTCATATTTAAAATATTGTCTAGCCTTGAGAACGAAAATAGAAATAAATTAAAAATTACAAGAATAAAAGTAGAAATTTCAAAAACCAATTGAATAAAATCCACAATATTTAACAAATCACATGGACGGAAAACGTAATTTAAGGATTGTTTGTTTACTTTTTAATAGTTCCATTAAGAGGCAGTCCTGAATCGTTAAGAGGTGAATCTTGTTTGGCAAAAAAAATCTACCTCTTAATGGTTCTAAAACCCTCTGAATGATTTTGTATCGTGGGCCTCTCTTAATCATTCAGCACCCTAATTTCATTGTAAACAATTTCCAAACAATTATATTTCATTTTGCACTATATCATAAGAGCCTCTTAATCATTCTGACCATTTAATCATTTTACACCAAACCATTCAACAACTGTCAAACTATCATTTATTCAGATTTCATTTCAATATGAGTATAAAAGCAAAAATACGTGATTAAAAAAATTATTAAAAAAATATTAAATATGAAGCCTTTTCTTAACTTTTCTCCCTACAATATATCATATACATTCGCTAAATTTATACAAACGTTACCGTTTCTATCCTCAATTTTGTTAAACGTTACATTTTTCATCATTTCACTGCGACCCATCCATCCCATTCCTTTTCGACATCGTATAAATATACGATCGAACCAAACGTTTTCTAAATCGCACGAGATTTAACCGCACTTTTTGCCGATCAAGATATATCTTTTTTGTAAATTCCCACCCACGATCGTTCACGCTATTCGGATCTCGCAAAACAGGATCGTTACTTTCGTATTCCTCGTACAACGAGCTTTCCCGTGGAAGAATTTCGTACCCGATGTACCGTAAACCGAGCTTTTTCGCGGGTTCACCGTAATATGTTTCCGCAGCCCAGTTCGTGCCGAGAGGTACAACTTGAATGAAAACCGAACCCGGTTTCATGAATAGAAAATGGGTCATTGCAGCTCCGTGGACCCCTAACATGACATCGCTCGAGTTAAGGGCTTGATAAATCCGCGCCAATTCGGTGGTTCGCTGTGGCCGGAGAACCGTCACCGTGAACCCAATCTTTTCCGCCATTTTCACCAAAACGTTTTCATTCAAAATGGCCCTAGATCCATTCCTTGAAATGATCACAAGCTTTGGTTTTTCCAATCGGGCCACCTGTTTTATCGGGTTGTTCGATTGTTCTTCAAGAAGTAAACCCTGGATTCGTGGCCGATACCCTTTGTCTAAAATATCTCGAAAATCCTTGATCGATTTGCTTCCTTCGGTTAACGATGGATCAACGGTGAGTTCGTCGTGAATTCTTAATCCAACAATGGCTTCGGAGAAACAATGGGTTCTTTTATCACCATTAAAATCGATCGGTTCGTAATCGGAAAGATGAGTAAGGATATTACCGTATTTGGTTATCCACCAATCATGGTATTCAAGAATCACAAACACAACTTTTTTGTTGTATTTTTGAGACGTGATGTAAAGTGGAATCAGACCATCGTTGAACTCGTGGTAAACGTTGCCGGTGTAACCTCCGGTGGAGAAGAACACCGCCGGAACGTCGTGATTCACGTCGCAGCTATGCTGATCACCGGTGGCAGAACTATTTGATTTCTTGGAAATAAGGGTTAGTTCATCAATGGTGGCCATGGTGGATGGTTCCCATTTCCGAGTGTAAGGTCTGATTTTTTCTCGCCGGAGTGGCTGTTTACCGGCACCGGAGTTCTCGGAGGTGTAAAGAAATACAGAAAAGGAAGAAGATTGCGTTCTTATATCACCTTTCATGATACATACATCCGATCGAATACTGCTTCTATCACAACATATTGTTCCTGTAAATCAAAACCAAAAAAAAGTCAAAAATCCAATCCTTTTTCACTGTTTTATCAAATTTTCAGCTGAAAATCACATAAACACAAATACCCACAAAGTTTAACATCAAAATCGGACATAAACACAAAATCAAACACATAAACAAACCAGAAAGAGGCAGATATCAGAATAAAAAACCAACCATTTGAGACAGAAGAACAAAGGGAAGTCTTTGCATCAGAAAGTGTTTCTTCTTCACCTCTTGATGGATCTAAAAACACCGAAAAAAGAAACAGAAACTCATCAGAAACAACAAAACCGAAGCAAACTTCAAGTGAAGAACAGAAGTTAGAGAGAGAGAGAGCTTACAGAGGAGAGAGAGAGTTGAGGTTGGGAAGGGAGCAAGAAGTAAGCAAGAAGAAAGAAGGGTACAAAAGAGGAGGAAGAAAAGAAACTTTGGCTTTGATTTTTTATTACAGCCACTCATGTTAACACAAGCATCTTCTTCATCAACATAAGCAGCCATGGAAACCCCTTTTCTGAGCTGAATATATCTCTGATAGTGCACCATTTTTTTATGTTTCTAGAGAGAGAGAGAGAGAGAGAGAAGAAATTTGCAGGATTTGGAAGAGGAATGAGGGGGTTTTATGGGGTTACGCTGTTTCTTCTTGGAGAAGATGGAGGAGCTGGCACAGAGGGATGGCCAAGTCAGCCATTGATAAATGTGATATGCTTTTTGACAGCGATGCATAACGGGGGTGAAAAATGAAAATAAGAATTAAACCCTTTCACTTCAAGAGTGTACAATTTCGGTCCCTATAAGTTTTGGAATGCTATAAAGTTTTAGCATGTAATTCACATTTGTTAATTGTTAAAACTCAAATTTAAAGGTAGTCTACTAAATACTTGATTGGTAAAGCGCTTACTGGTATCACTTATGTCACCTACTGAGCATGGAAATGACTAAAAATTCTACTTGGTAAGAGTTATAACAAGGACCGAGAGTCTTATTCGATAAGTGGAAAAAAAGACTATTACCCAGTAAGTAATTATTGGGTTTAAGACGTTTATCAACAATTCATTTTGATGGTCGAGAATGTTACATGTTTATCAAAAATCCATTTTGGTAAAACATCTCTTTGATCTTTGATATATATCATTTTGTTTGGTGAATATACATGATGATATCACCAAACAGATCACAACGATAACACCATTAATAGTCGTAAAAAACTTACTTTATGATGAAAAACGCAGTAGTACCCCATGTAACCACAAGCTATTGAATGCATAGAAATCCATAAGTTTTTTCAAACAAGGGTACAAAATAAGTAATATAATAGAAAATAAAACAAAAAATTAATTATAAAAAACACAGTTTAATTGAAAATGAAATACTAACACTAACAGTAGCATACAACCATTTTCTACTTCAAAAAGAATTAGCAAACAACCATTTTTTGTTACATGCGCAACCGTTGAAAGCGTCCTCTGCATTTTGACGATAGTGTGTGGACACGAACACCTTGTAGGCTAGCACATGACTCGATAAATCCATCCCGACACATACGTTTTAAAGTCAAATATTTAAAAAAAATTTAATTATGATATAAAAATGGATGTGACATTTCAGTCATGAAAGCCAAATTTAGGAAGGGTTGATAGTTTTCAATAATTAGGGTGATTTTGGACGTATGCAATAATTGAGGGGCTTAATTCAAAAATATAACAATAGGACCAGTTCGGCTGCTGGTACTGGTTCAGATGGCTGGCTGGTGGATTGAACGCGCCTAGGGGAGCGCGTGGTGTCCTGATTGGAGGCAACAACGCCAGCTAAGGGTGTAACGGAACAATTTTGAGAACATTGCTAGGGCTAACCTAGAATTTTGTTTTTCTTTTGAGAATTGTAGATATGTCTTTCATTTGCAACCTTACATCTTGCTAAATGTATTTTAATACTTTATCCGATGTATATGATGAAAATCAAGAATTTTATATCATAATAACTGAGAGTTTTATTCAATAAGTGTGTGCAATGAATCTATCACGGTTAACGTTTACCAATTAAATTGTTGTATATGATATCATTTTGTTCGAATAAAATCTTACGTGATAAATAAGTAATAGTATTGAATTATATCGGTAAACACTTACCTGAGTAAGTATGGTAAACGACCCCTTAAATAATTTTTCTCTTATATACATCAACATCAAGATTCATTTTTTACATTTCCAATATAGATTGGATTTGATTCTAATTGAGAAATTTTATTTTCACCTTTTTATGTCAAAATCAAGTCAATTCAAGCATTAAGAATGTAAAAAACATGTTTTGATATTATGTGTGTAAGGAAGAAAATTTATAAGTAAAGGTGTATGTAGCCACTCCTTCTGACTTAAATGGTTGTGCATATAGCAACAGGTGGTACTGTATGCATCCCTATAGATATCAGAATCATGTCATTAAAAATGTAAAAAATGAGTATTGATGATGATGTGTGTATGTAGAAAAATAGTAGATAGAGATACAGTTAGCAATACACATGGGTGCATTTAGCATACCCCTATAATAATACTCAGTGTTTATTAGAAAATATAGATAAATTAAAATGTAAAAAACTTGTGTTTAGTTTCTACAGTTAATGAATAACTTTTGTTTAATTTATGTAACAAATTTTTATATTTTGTATCCATTTTGACTGATAATCTGTTAATCTTATAACATTTGAATTTATAATAATATGCATACTTGTTTATGAGATGGTTACAACAACATATGTGATAAATTTAACATATATCTAATTAGTCGTTGCAAGATCCACATGTTATGATCAAAATGGATGATAAATATAATTTTTTATTTTTAAAAAGAAAACTTGCTTTTATTTATCCTTTATTTTTAAAATTTTATATCTTAAAAATTATATTTAATTGTCTATAGTTTGAGAAAATATTTGTGATACAAAGAAACTCTACTTTGGAAGGGATGTATTTTCACAAATACATCAAATTTCACATAGTTTATATTAATTAGATATAACAAAATAATCATCTGATCTAGATAACATTAAGCTGAGTGTGTGTGTGTATATATATATATATAGGATCAAACGAGAACGAATCTTATTTAAAAGTGCACGAAAACGGGTAAATCACGTGCAAAATCAAATATGATTTTACATTAATGGTCAAAAAAGTGTCTGAGCGATTTGTGACCGCATATTTAGGTCGCCGGGTAAGGTCGCTTAAATTATATATGATTTTGTATGTGATTTTAATGTAAAATCATATGTGATTCAACAGTTTTTGTGTTCTTTTAAATATGTATCATTCTCATTTGATACTCCCGTTATAGAGAGAGATTGCATTTTTCTACCAATTGTCCAACTAATTTATGTAGCCGCAACCATAAATTGTCTGAGACACCTCAAATTAAGAAATTGTATTTACTACATAATAAAATTAATAGCGTCCACAGTTGAAACTAGTATCTCATAAATATTGAAAGAAATAATAAGAGATATTAAATGAGAAAAACACCAGAGATGAGTACTCTAACCACTAAATTTAGTATCCCATTAATCGTAGTTGACGTCACCGAATCAACAAGATTTTTGATTTTGAACCGCAATCGGTTCTTGTTAACCATGCATTAAAAATACAAAGACATGAATAGATTTTTTAATTATGGAAATGGATCTTCTTATAGACTGGCAAAATAAAATTAATTTTTTGAGTTAATTTATGGAAATGGTCCATGTGGTCCAGGGTTTGGTTCCTACAAATCACAGTTTAGACCACGCCAGCTTACATCAAACCAAACCAAACCAAACCGTAGACTATTGGACCATTTTCATACTTTACAGTGTTTTCTTTTAGAAATAGTTTGCAAATTTAAAAGTCCATTAACCCAACAAAAAAAAAACAAACCAAGTTCCTTAATAGTATAATTCCTTACTAGATTTCCTGATCTCTCGACAATCGATCATTTTCATGATTATTTTGTGATTTAGCTGTTTGTATAATTCTCGTATTGGTTTATTCTGGTGTCATTCATGCTACTGTTGTCTTTTATGCACTCAAAACTACTTCATTATTCACTATAATGTTGATTTACTATTTCGTAGATTCTTCGCCTTATTCTCATTATCAACTATATCTTTCACCGTTGAAGATGTGATTTCGTTTGTTTCCTTCATCACCTTAGATTGATCATCTCCCACCTGTATTGTCCTAAAATGATCATCTTCAATCATAATCGATAGAATTTCTTCAACTTGAATTGTCCGTGATACAATCACACCTATATAAAGTCATTATATAAAAATTGTTGTGAAGTGAGATGATGTTCTTTTACGTATGTATACAAGTTTTAAGGAGGAAATTACATCTACCTCATGTTCGAATCCGTCTCTTGTTGTCATGGAGGTTTATGCTGGTTTGACTCTAGGACATTCAGGGTCGCGGGAGGGGGGGGGGGGGTTAATCAATGCGTTGTAAGGTGGCCCAGAAACTCATACTTACACAAAAGAAAGTTTCAATAAGCAAATGACATTGTTTTTGTCGGTTAAAGTACATAATTTATTGGTATGTATAATTCTCATTTAACAAAGATAATATTCAAAAGTGGTACTTTTGTTTTGTCATTCTTGTATATTAATTGTAGATTGAAATATTATCTTTGTGATGCTACATATATCAACAGTCGTATTTATGACTACATATCATAATATATGGTTATCAGATTCCAACTCCAAAACGGTTTAGCTAAATAATAGTACTGTGAGGAAGCTCATACCATCATCTGATTTAAGGTATTAAACTGGTAATTATTACGATCTATTCAATCTTTCATTTAAACTATTTACAAACAACTTTTAACCATTGTTGACAAGATAAACAAAATATTTATGTCTTAAACTAGATGACTAAATGATACATTGTGGTTTATCCAATTCAATCATTTCTAACCATTACTGAAAATCAAACCAATTTTTTAAAGTTGTGTCGATAAGTCATTAAGTTGATTACGTATAAAATTCAAATATCGCCTTAATGTGTGAGTTGATTTAACGAATCAAGTCAATTATCATTTCAGGAAACGTGTACTACCAAAATACATGTTGACATTGATGTTGTATGAGAGAGGAATTTGTTCGGTTGAAATATGTACAACAAAGAATATGAATTTCCAAATTAGTCGATCAAAATTCTAACATGGTCATTTTAATTTAACATAGAATTTAATGATTATCTTAATTATATTTTAAATTTTTTATATTTAAAATGAATGTTTATCTTGTATTTGATTATGTTTATCAACAATTAGTTACACGAATTTAAAAATGGAGCTTTAATAAGTTGTATTTACGCAAAATTACTTGTAATATTAAATTTTAAATAATATGCATCAATAAACAGTATTTCATGCATAAAAAATGATTTTTAAGAGTTTTTATCAAATGTTTTAGAATATAGTATAGATTTACTGAATATTTTTGTTTTGAACATTTTTGTAAATGATTTTATGAGT